CAATGGTTTATGTCCCATTCACTCCCGCTTTTCCTTATTAAAGCTGGTGCAATTTCATATTTAGTTGAGCCAAGATGACTGGACCTGAGTATTGTTTACTTACGAGTCCAGATATAGTCTGAACAGGTGATTCTAAATGTGTTTTGATCTGGAGAGAGGAGAACTTTGCATGAAATATTCTGTTTCTGCAAACGCAATTCAATGGTTTTGGAAGGAATCATGACAAATGGCCACACCGAGCTGCATATCTTTCAAGGAGGTTCTGTAACCATAGGATGCCTTAGGACACTGAATTTCAGTGTGCCAGATTCCTTTCTGGACCCTCTAGGAGCTGAAAAGTGCACTTTTAGAAGAATGGTGTGCAATTCTACAAGACTTGATCAACACTCTGATAAAGTCTATGAAATCGAATGCCAGGTATGCATATCTGTCCACTGTGACTGTACACCATATTAAAGAAAAAAATTTTCCACAAAAGCCGACTTAATTTACCATTATTTTTCAATTTTCATAAATTTGGTTTTAATATTTTGCAAATAATCAACTGCCAATCATATTAATGCATTTACACAAATTTCTACTAGGAATTTTTATTAAGTATCAGTTACATTTTATTTCTGTCATTACTCCTTAATTTTGATTACTAGTGTATATGATAATGTTTAAAGAGTTCATGAAGTAAGGCACAAACAACCTCCTTTATTAAAACTGCGAGTGATACAGCATCCTAAAAACATAATGCCTTGTGTGTGGCGAGACTATAAAAGAAATGTATACTATAAATTGTTGCTACCAAATCAGGCAATAAATTCGGAAAAATATTGTTCCCCAATAGCATTTTAAAAACGGAAATTAGAGCAAAGTGCCCAGAATTGACCAATCTTCGATGTGGTATCATCCATCATGACAATGTTTGGCCTCACATCTCAATGAATATGAGAAAAACTTAATCACTTCTTTGGAGACCATCAAACAGCACATTGATAACTTCTTTACCAATAAACCAAATGACTTTTTTAAAAAATAATTTTGCAGCTGCCTGAGAGATGGCAAAAAGTTACATAATAAAATTATTCTTAAGTGATTCATTGAGTATTTCTTATCTTTTTGTACTGCTTCAATGCACATTCAATCTTCACACTACTTACAAACATTATCAGCAAATAAATCTATGTTAGCACGTTTATATGTTCTATCCATACCTTCAGTACAGAGCCCACTAGCAGCCAGTTAATTAAGTTGGCCTTGTGGAGGTTCATATCTATGCAACTATGGGCATTTTCATGGTTTTGCACATGGGTAACATGTATACAAGCCAATTTCCCTTAGAAAGTCCTTCATAGGCATCCCTTCCTTTAGGCAACTAGCCCTCAAACACTTTACCATGATTAAACAAACAAACCAACCTTCAGTACTGATTTTAACAAAGTTCTTATTTTCTTACACAGTCACTCAGTAATACTGATGTAATTTAGTTTACTTCATTCTAATATTTTTCTTTGAAAATTAATTAAAAACATTATAGTAGGGCTGTTTGTGGGACCCCAAAAAATCCCCTGAAACTTTTACGGACTTACTAACCGACATTTTGGAGTTTCGAGAAGGAGGGGGAGAGAAATGAAAAATTACAATTATGAAGTATTGAATGACCTAATTATATAAGTTCAATGAATTACTTATTTTGCAAAATTAATAACCATAAATTTTCAAACATATAAACTACTACATTTTATGTAAATATTTTAAATTACCTGAATTAATTCTTTAAAAAAATTATCTAATTTCTGCTGCTTTTTTATTTTCTGATGTTTGTGGGCTTGTCTTTCTTTTGTGGTGAACTTCATAATTGCAGGAAGGTTGACTTTTATTTTCCTCATTTACAGTTGAAGAAATTTCCTCGAGAACTGCACATGCAGAGGTAGAAGCAGTTTGCTTTTCTGCTAATGTAGAAGGGTTTTTCAGAGACTTTTATAGGTGACTCATCTGAAATACATGTTTTTAAGTCCTCTTGATATGTTTTCCAACTTCTGTTCATATTCAGTAAGAGATCTTTGTGAATTGGATCAGTCATTGGATTTTTTTTAGCCATATTTTTCACATGAGGTTTCTTTAGAAGCCATTAAATCATATTTAATAGTCTGCACTGCATCTAGGGAATCAATCTTAAGAGAGGTTCTATAGTCAGTGACAAGTGTATCCATTAAGTTGAATGCACTTTCCACTAATGGGCCATGGAAGCAGCTAAGGCAGGCTTTGACCAATTTAGCCAATGTAGGATACTTATAATCATTTGTGAAATCATCTTTTAAATTAAAACTTTAGACCAATATTTATCAATTGTACACTTGACTTGATTTTCCACTTTCATCAGATGTGTAGAGCATTTTCTTTGGTGATATCAATATCACTCCGGTATAACCTTATTTCAGCTTCTACTTTTGACTTTTCATTATCACTAAAAATATGGGACATAAAAGACGATAATTTTTCAAAAGCTAATACTATTGTACTGGTTTTACCTCTTAGCTCTGGATCTAATGCTGTAAAACTAATTAGATATGAATTTTTAAGGGGTAATTTCTGTTTCATATGCTGTGCTGTATTAGTATAAGCTTTCATCTTTTGAAAGAAGATGAAATTTGGAATTCTTTTGCTATTGGATGATTTTTTTTTTAATTTCTTCAGGAGAGTGGAAGCTTCTGCACCAGTAAATATTACTTTGCTAGGTAGATGGAATTCTGGATTTGTGACATCAACTTTTAATAAATCATTATAAGATGTGCACTCTATATTTTCTGGCTTCATAAAAAAAGAGAAAAATTTTGCCATCAATTTATAAATACTGGAATGTATTAAATGAAGCATTGTGTTTTTTTTTTTTTTTTTCCAAATAATTTAATATATGTGTTGAACTCTGGTAATACTGCTGAATATAATGCCATATGCAATAAAGTTTTGTTTTGCATAACAAATAACCCATTTAGTATTCTTTTTTCCCAAGCTAAAGCATCCTTTGTGAGTTATTGGGAATGCAAGCAAGAATACACCCCTTCAACAATTTTTTTTCTGAGCTGCAGAAATATTTCTTTTATTGTATACAGTTTCAACATAAGAAAAATAATCCCCTTTATCAGTTTTATCCAAGTAGTGAAAATAAAATGCAATAAGAGCATCCCACAGATCTGTGATTCTTTCTAAAACACATAAAATGTACACCCACCTATGGTCTGGTCTCTTCAAAGGCTTAAGTTTTTTAATGGCAAGGGATTCACAGATTTTGAAAAAATTTTCTCTTTTACTGCAGCTTTTCATATCAAAATTCATATCCTTTTTTTTTTCCACGCATGGTGTTACATGAGTTCATTAATACACTAATTAAGTTTGCCCATGGAATATCATTATCTTCAATAGTATTAACAACTGCTTTTGAATGGCAAAATTCCATCTTTAGAGATGCAAAATGATGAACTACAACTTCATTTTGATTGTTGTCATAAAACTGCACCAATATTGCCAGTATACTTTCTTGAGCATTGCTAGTACTTTCATCGAAATTTAGAGAAAATGGAGTCTCCTTTAAAGTTTTAATGATATTTTCCTTAATAGTTTTTGCGAGCCCATATTTCATCTTACAACATGCAGTAGTCCTGGACATTTCCGAGTTTAGTGCCGTCTGATCGCGGCTCAACTGTTTGCAGAGTTCAATTAAATTGGGAGCTACATTGAAAGAAAGAGAATTCTTGGCGATAAACGAAGTTATTAATACCTCTTGGCGTGCTTTTCTTGTCACTATATCCGATATATATATATATATATATATGGTCGAGCATCAGTCTCCAGTAAGTCATCAGTATTTTTGAATTAGCATAATTACTTAAAGTCATTGAATGTCTAATGCACTTTGAATATTTTATGTGCGTCACAGTTTTAGAATGATTTGTCTTGAATCCTTCCCCACCATACTTCAGCAGTGAGTTACAAAAAACACAATATGCTTGTCCAGCAACATTTATTTTCTTGCACCATGTGCTGATGGTATCTCCATTACCATCTCTCCGTTCAATCCAATTCCACCTAAATGCATTCCGGACACCACCTTCTAATTGTATAATATCACTATTTATATCGAGAAATTTCATAGTGAAATTCTCTGGCGTACATAAATAAAAAAATATTTCAATAAACGAAACGAAAAATTTACACGTGCATCAATAAATGAAACGAAAATTTTACACAGCTGAGAAGCGATCAATGACAAATAGCTGATTACAGCGAAAAATCCCCCTTCTCTACTTATTGGCGCCACGCCAGGAGAGATAAGACCTTTGAACCCAGAGTCACGTGATCGCACATCTGGTCGAACGAAGTCTCTCCCTTTTTTTTCTGCTGCGCCTACTTGCCGAAAAGAATCCAGAAGAGAATGTCCGAGAAACGGGGGAATGAGTCATAACTCGCAATAAGCAAACAACAAAAAAGAAGTTTTTTCCCCCTTTTCACGCATTATCACTGCCTTTGGAGAAAGAAAGGAAGAGTTTTCACCACACACACTGACCTTGCGTTTTCTGCTTTCAAAGCAAACAAAATTACCCAGATCAAAATAAATAATTCATTATTATTCCTACTCCCCGGAATTTCCGGGTATCGAAGTTCAAAATCCCCGGAATTCCGGGTTTCCCCGGAGCACAAACACCCCTGTTATAGCTATATTTTTTAATCTTAAGTGAAAAAATTCACCTTTTTTGAACAAAGAAAAGGCATTGTCTGACATATGTTCTAAAGTACCAGATGTAGCAAGCATAATATTTATATTGAACAGCACTACTATAAATGCTTCTAATAATGTTACAAATAGATTAAAGTGGTGTTACTACAGATCAGGATTGCAGAATGTGGCTTCAGTGTTATTTTCAGTTAATTAATACTATAAAAACTACTCTTATTATCATTAATTATGTAAATAAAAAAATCACATCATGTTTTGATATTACTCAACAAAAAAATTTTTTTCAAAATAACTTTATTACTTTTCAAGACAATTTCACTACGTCATTGTATATGATCATACCACAAAAGCCAGTTATAAATACACAATACACTGATATTTGGTCTAAAGTTTAAATTTTGTGTATAAAAAGTAACATCAGATGGCAGCAAAATTAAAGGATGCGTGTTTATATGTTTCTATCTATATACAGCAGAATAAAAGGAATCATCTAAAAATGTAGAAATCTCATCTTTTTATATACTTTAACCTCAAAAAGTTCATATTATATAAAAACTTGAAAATTAAAGAAGTAATGTTAATTTGGAACTTGATTTATTAACAGTTAAGTTGAATTTTAAAGGATATTAATGCAGGTCTAAACCATAAATATGAATGTCACTATGAGAATATACAATGATATACCAGCAAAATTTTTTACCTGGAAACAGAATGATTACAACTACATATTTCAGATGTACCATGATTTTAAAAACATCCTTTAAATTTGCAGCGAAAATAAAATCACCCACAATATAAAATCTTGCCACCAGTTTGAAACAAAATCCTGCAAGCAGGAGTAAAATCAGCATAAAAACAACAAACACGATGCACTTTGTTTGTATTTGTACAGTTGTCCACTATTCAGGAGAGGATACAACATCTAATGTTGTTGCTATACTACATGTTCACTGAAGAACACACTTAAAAGTCAGGAAAAACAGTTTACTGGAATTCGTGGAAGAGCTGCTAATACTTAAGTCATGTGGTGACGGTCACATGATCATCCTTCCGCAAACGTTTATTGTTACATTTAAGAATGACAGCCTATTGACTGATAGCTGGAGAGGGTTTCTTATCTTCCTGGTTCTGTGGCTGTGGTACAGACCCAGGACCTCCGGTCTGATTTCTTTCAGGAGGCTGATTAGGTTGAGCTCCAGACCACGAGGGAGGTGGGGGCCCTCCACCAGGATTTGGCCCAGAACCAACCGGATTTCCAGAAAATTCATCACCATCTTCTAATCCATTAGCAGCTGCAGCTGATGCATCATACTGGGTGTTCTCCAGGCGAGTGATGAGACGCTCATCCTCATCTCCAAACTCCCCTCCCATAAGGGAAGGTTCCCCAACTACCATAACATCCTGCAATAAATTTAATAACAATTTCAATAATTTTTAATCAGCACATATATATATGTAACATTTTAAAATTCAAATGCATTACTTCCAAGTTTTCAAAATAATTTAAAATTCTAAATATTTTACTTTACATACAGGATTCTCAATGAAAATCGGTTAATTTTTTCTGACCAAACATCTTTGAATTAATTATATACTCCTCCCCCACAAAATACAATGCAATAACTAAAAAACATTACAAAAACATATTTTATCTTACTTATTGCTATGAAGCAAATGAAAGATTTCTAATACAAGGTGCAACAGGATTGTGTGATCATCAAACTTTACATGGTGGTAGAACCTGGCACAAAGTAACAAGGTGGAGTTCTACCACAAAGTAACAAGGTGGAATGTGAATGTTGATGGAAAATGAAAAGTTATTTTAATCACAGATATTTACAAGATTAGCTCAAACGAACCACCAACACTGAAGCTTCTGTTATGCAGCAGCAAGGCTAATACAGTCAAAAGTCGTTAATCCGGACTTGTCGGGACTTCGGCGATTCCGGATTATAGATCATCAGTTTAAATCGCGTAGGATGGCATGCAGAAATTCTAAAATTAAAAATATGAAACCGTAATTTATGAAATAAGGAACAATTATGATCTAAAGGGTATCAAAATTTACAAAAAAAAGCTTAATATTTATTTGTTTACTTTATTAAACATTTCTTTCAATGTAAGTTGTTTCATTGCGTTTTATGTGATAATACTTTCTCTTTAATTCTATAAACAGACATAATTTTTTGTTCACTTACAAAGTTCCGCTGTTCAAGTCCCGTTAATTGCTGTGCCGAGAATACCGACTAACTTGTCAATCAAAATTTTTTCGTTTTCACTAACCTCTCTGTCACATTTTCATGTCTTTATCATCCATTTTTTGCAGCAATTCCACTTTTTGTTTGATGGACATCGAAACATACTTTCGTTTTGTACGATCCTTTGGGAGCTCCAGAATCAAAAATTCTATTTGACATAATCGAAAGTTCAAGTTTACTTTTTTAGTATTGCTCTTACAGTCTGCAAAAAATAATAAGCCGGATCCAATTTGAAAATTAAGGAACAACGCAATCATCAACATTAACTGAAATACATAATTATATAATTTTAGCTTACACCATCCGTTATACATAAAACGCGCACGTGAAAACGTATTCTGCGCTTGCGCACATGCAAATGCGCAGTGGTAAGAGGTCTTACGCGCACGCGTAAACGCCTATGTGCATGTGTCAACGCGGAGCATGCGCAGAAAGTTTTTAGCTTTGAGGTCCGGATTATAGATCATTCCGAATTATGGGTGTCTGAATTAACGACTTTTGACTGTACCGTGGACAGGGTCTTCAGGAGAGTCAATCTACATCTCGTAAACAAAACCTGTCACCGTGATGATCCAAATATTGCAATTTCTGGTCATTCATTCGAACAATTCTTGTAAATATCCTTTAAACTGACCTTTTGTTTTTGATGTTCTTTTAGAGTTTTGGATTTCCCATTTCATCACATATACTGCATTATAAAATCCTTTTTTTATATAACATGTTCCATCATCTCATAAAATTATCCCCAATTCTGTTAAACCTTGTACATACTTGTACTGTGTCCAAAAAATCTTTACCTCACCATAATTTTGTCAACCACTTACAAAAAATGCTTTAAATGATGCAAATATTCTTATTCTGGCATTTTTAATCAAAAAATTTAATTTCACAGAACTTGTGAAATCTAACTTTTTATACACTATCCAGTCGCTATACTTACATTTAAGAAAATGTTACATTTCTGGGGGAAAATGACAAAATATATGACAAAAACTGACCCACTTATAAAACTGCACATCATATTCACAGGAACAAACGGTTTGTAATTTTACTTAACTAAAAATAACATCTGAGGAAAATATTTCTAATGTTAACAGATTAACTGAGAAGCATTTTATGCAGATTATGACAAAAGATATTGATCAATTTATTTATTTTTTAAGAATTTTTTTTTTCCAGAGGATCTTATAAAATGTATGTCCTGGTAAACACTGGCAAGCTTCAGTGTTGGCACATAATTACATTGTAGCATTGTTTGTGATAATTAAAAATTTTAAATATTTCTAGTTAATTAATTTTTTGCTTGATTAAAGTAATAAAATTTCAGACAATTAGTATTTTTTTAATTGTCTGAAAACATATATATATATATTATCTCTACGAAATTTCTTTTGATCTATGTTTGTAACAAAATTATACATTAAAGAATGTTATACTGTAATAAATCACAATGCATGTAAAATAAATTTTTGCAGATATAAACCATCATTCATATTCTTTCACAAAAAAACTGCAGATTTATTATTTGAGATAACTTTTGAAAAAGTTTTTCCAGAATTTGAGAGAAATTCTGATTTTCCCTAACACATACATTTTTAATTTCCCTGACTTTCCCAGATTTTGCAGATAAGGGAAAATCTTGGTATATCTTAATTACATTGACATACAATATGGCATGGTGATATGAACACCTTTAAATATTAAAAAATATTGTACTTAAATTTTAATACTTTTGGATTTAACAGTATTTTTATTTTAATTCTATTAATTTCCTGGAAATATTTTGTCCTCCTGTTTGGATCTGACAATCAGAAGTTAGCAAATTTATTTTTTGTTACATTTGAGCCATGCAAAAAGGAATAATTTTCGTTGGAATTGGATAATTTTCTCTATTACATACTGAATTGTGGTCAAGGAGCTTGCAGGGTTGTTACTATTTTAATTAATCAGTTATTATGATTTAGACCTAGATTATGAACCTTTTTTTAGATTAGACCTTTTTTTTCCACTTTCTAATCAGAAATGTTAATGTGTTAGTGAGTATTTGAGTCGAGGGTTTTGAATTGTAAGACAGTATATTCCTACCTCTTGAGCCATGTTAAGTCTCTGTTAACTTTAAATACAGTGGTAATTCATTCTCAAGTCAGTCAGGAGTTTAATGCCAGTTTATGCTACCAAAGAAGGTCAAACTCTATAAACTTACTCCTTTCACTCAACCCATTTTTAAGTAATTAATTATACAGCTAGAACTTTTGTTAGTTTATTGATTACTTATTTACTTGTAAAACTGAATTGCCATTTACTAAGTTAGTATTTTAAGCACTTATTATATTCAGTTAATTGATTTACGAGCTATTTATGCCAAATTATATTTAGAATATTTATGCCAAATAACTGTGCCTTATATTTTAAAAGAAATGCACTGCATTCTTATGGAACCAAGAGATTAAAATAATTCCCTCCCAACTAAAAAAAAAAAAAAAAAAAGTTTCATCTCACTTTTATTAACTGATTTCCTATGGGTAGAACTTGAGCAAAACATAAATCAATAGAATTTATCAATTTACATAAATTATTTATAACTGCATTTCCTTATTAAGAACACTAAAACATTCTACTTAAGTTTAAACACTTCTGTTGCTGCATTTATTAATATTATTAATAATTTTTTGAATGATAATAAAATTTTGTCACATTGAGAAAAATCACTTTCCATGCTATTCTGGTATATTTGTTAATTAATGTGTTAAAAAAGAACAGATAGGTAGAAATTCTTAGTGGAAACAAATTCTGGAAACTTTCCAGCCACAATAAACTAAAGTCTCCAGCGTTAGGAGGAGTACAAAAGGCAGGTGAAGTTGCCAGAATTTGTTTTTTTAATTTAAATAATCTGCACATGCATGGCTGATTTTTACTGAATAGCCTAATTTTTTATATTGAAAATTAAAAAGGATAGTGCAGTAGGTAATATTTACTGCATGAGAAAATTTGTAAAAGTACATAGCAAAACAGAGAGAGACAAATAATGGCAACATCTGCCTATTAAGAACTAATCAGCTCAATACAGAACAGAAGCTCAGCTAAAGTAACAGCTAAGAAATAAATTCAAAATGTAGCAAAGAAATTAGATTCTAATTTTTCTAATGTATTACAGCATTTTTATTTTATTGTTTGCTGAGATCTGGCAATTTCACCTGTCTTTCAAATTTAAAACACACCTGGAAGGCTTAATCATTATATAAATAAATCAGTCAACTGACATTGAAAGATGATTGTGAACAAATTAAATGTTATATGTATGAGGGAAAAAAAATAAAGTTTTTTTTTTTTTTTGAAGTATAAAACTAAATTAAAAATTATTTCAAAATATAACTTGAGTTTACAAACAGTACTGAAATTCTTAGATCACGAATATGCATAGGTAATTCACTAATGGGGAAATCTGCTTCACAGCTTAATAGCTGTGTAACATTTTTCCACAGACAGGGTGTGCATAAATTTATTACATAATGACAACTCTTTCATGAACTATGAGATACCAGATATAGATAATGCCAGATACATTTATTATATCCTTGAGAAAATGATGCTATTACTAAATTCAGTTTCTTCCATTACAATGTATATAAAGGGACAATCACAAATTAACTCTCTGTATGTTTAATAGCATAAATTTTATCATATGGAATAAATTATTTCAGTCATGCATGCATAGAAAATTTCAAGATTAAGAACTTTCATACAATAAATGTGATCTCTATTACAGTTTTTCCAAGGATTGAAAATAATAATGGGCAAAAAAGTTGTGTATAGAGTTCCTTATGCACTACTCATAAGCCCAGACAAATTAAATATGAAAACCTTTTATGAATGCTAACTATCTGAAATAGCCCATACAGACTTTGATAATTTAAGAGATGATCAGAAAGTTTTCATGAAACTATACAGCAGGATAGGGATTTATTCATATTTTTTTTAATATTGTTCATTTAGTATTAAGCAATTAATGAAACAATTGCAGATGATTTCTGACAGAGATTTGTTCTACATTACATTCCTGAATGTATCCAAATAGGTACAGCTCTAGAATCAGAGACTTATGTGGCACATATCAACAGGATGTCAGTCTACCATTTACTACAT